CTCCCACTCCCCCAGTACTCCCCCCCTCCCACTCCCCCAGTACTCCCTCTCCCTTTCTTCCCCCAGTACTCCCTCTCCCCCTCACCGCGCTCCCCATCACCCCCTTCTCCACCCATACTCTCCCTCCCCCCTTTCCCCATACTCTTGCCTTCCCCTCACCCCTCCCTATACTCTCCCTTTCCTCACTCCCCATCCCTGTACTCACACGCCCCCACCCCTTGTCCCCACTAGCCTCTCCCTACCTCCTCCCCATACTCTCCCTCTCCTCACTCCCCATCCCTGTACTCACTCTCCCCACCCCTCCTCCCCCCTCCCTACCCCCTCCTCGTTCCCCGTCCCACATTCCCCCTCTTTCTATCCACACTCCTCCTAATTCCCCTCCTCATACTCTCCCTCACTATCTCCTCACTCCCTATTCTCTCGCCTTCGTTATCGCTCCCTCGGATCTCCCTCTCCGGGTCCCGGGACACTCACTGCGTGTCTGGCTCCGTTCGGTACCGCCGTTTCTGTCCCGCGTCCCGGGCTTTTCTCTGGGATTGTTTTCTGGAAATTTTTTTTTCTCTCTCTCTCCTCCTCCTCCTCCTCCTCCTCCTCCGGAAGACAAGGGAAAGCTCCAGGAGCAAAACCGGAAAGCGGCCTCGCAGCAACTGCTTCCGGGTCAGTGACCCGTGTGGGCGTGACGCCGTGACGTCACGGGTCGGCACATGGCCCCATAGAGGCCTTGTTCTTGTTACTGGAGCCAATGGGCCCTGCTTGAATGGGTCTCAAACTCTGCATTTCCATCCCACTGAATCAATATGAATGAAAAATTATTATTAAATATGCAGTGGGTCGAGTGACTTCCTTCCAAGGCATCCTGCCTGCCAGGAGCCAGAAATGCTTCTCAAAGACAGATAGAATTCCTATAGTGTGGAAACAAGTTGGCCCAGTAAGTCCACATTGCCCCTCTGAAGAGCATCCTACCTAGACCCATCTCCCTACCCTTTCCCTGTATCCCTGCATTTCCATGTCTAATCCACCGAGCTTGCACACCCCCTGATACTATGGGCAATTTAGCATAGCCAATCCACCAAATCTGCACATCTTTGGACTGTGGGAGGAAACCCTCACAGACACGGGGAGAACATGCAAACATCTTTACTCAGAGAGTAGTAAGGGCGTGGAATGCCCTGCCTGCAAAAGTAGTAGACTCGCCAACTTTAAGGGCATTTAAATTGTCATTGGATAAACATGTGGATGATAATGGAATAGTTTAGGTTAGATGGGCTTCAGATTGGTTTCACAGGTCGGCGCAACATCAAGGGCCGAAGGGCCTGTACTGCGCTGTAATGTTCTATGTTCAACACAGACAGTCGCCCTGAGGGAGGAATCAAACCTGGGTCCCTGGCATTGTGAGGCAGCAGTGCTAACCACTGAGCCACCATACCAACTCCCTGTGCCTTCTTCCTTCTGACTTAATTGACACCACCATCTCCACCATCTCTACATTCCCCAAAGATGCATCATCATCCTGTCGTCCAAAAATAGCAAGTTTGGATCATTCACACCATAAACAGAGACAACCTCTTGGGGCCCATTCCATCACGTAAATAGACAAAACCTGATCTGTATCCCACTCTATTTACATGTTTTTCCACCTTATACATTGATATTTCAATATGGGGAGGTCCTGTTATCTAACTACACCAGTCATCCATTAGCCCAAGCAATTGTTCTACATGTTATTGTTTCGTAATCATTAAGAAATCAAGCATTATGGGGAAAAGGCTGGAAATTGGAGTTGAGAACAATTACGTCAGCCATGATCTCATTTAATGGTGGAGCAGACTGCATATTTAATAACAATTTTCAAAAGTTAGGAATTTTAAATGGTGGAGCATTCAGTGGGCCAAATGGTCTACTTCTGCTTCTGTATGTTATGGTCTTATGCTTCTAGGACAAGGACTCAAATCCTTGTACTCAGTTGTATCAATCATTACAAAGCCTCAAAGAAATGAAACCGGACAGACCATCAACCTAGGCACCAGAAAAGACAAAGGCAAAACAGACCTGTCGAACCTGCAAAGTCCTCCTCACTAACATATAGAGGCTAGTGCCAAAATTAGGAGAGCTGTCTCAGACGCTTGCCAAGCACCAGCCTGACTAATGATTGCCAAAGTTATGACCACTTCCAAGTAGGAGTACAAGTGCGGCAGATACAGGGAAACATCATCACCTGCAGGTTCTCTTCCAAGCCACTCACCGTTCTGATTTGGAAATATATCGCCATTCCTTCACTGTCACTGGGTGAAAATCCTGGCATCCCCTTCCTAACAGCTTTCTGAGTTAACCCACAGCAGGTGGAATGCAGCAGTTCAAGAAGGCAGCTCATCACTAACTTCTCAAGGGAAACTAGGGATAGGCAATAAATGATGGTCAACCCTCGAATGCCACATCCTGAGAATTAATTTTTTTAAAAATTCCCACTAAAGCAGATGGCTAGCATGTTTGATCATCATAAAAAGCCATCCAATTTACCAATGTCCTTTAGGGAAGGAAATCTGCCGTTCTGATCCAGTGTGGCCTACTTATGACTCCTGACCGACAGCAATGTAGTCGATTCATAACTGCTTTCTAAAATGGCCTGGAGTGATAATCAATTCAAGACCAATGAGGGATAGGCAACAAATGCTGACCTTGCTCGTGGCACCCAGGTCCCGTGAAAAAATATAGAATTATCCTGACTCAACAGAGTTTAGGGAACTAGGAAAGACCCAGCAAACAGGATGTCAAAGGGTTTCTCCCAGTCACATGTCCATGAGTATAGCGTAGGAAGGATGGAGCAGATAAATCTGTAGAGATAATGCAGAAGAGAAAGCTTCAGTTGCTTGCAACATTGGGGCTAATTCTGGGGAGATGAATGCTATGCAGCCTGGTTGAATTGCACCTAAACAGTCAGGATGAATGTCCTAGAGGGTACTTGCTGTGACAGGTGTGTGAGAAGCAGGATGTAATATTTGAAAGGAATACCTAGGTCTATAGAGAAAAACAGAAAGTATGAGAGTACGAAATTGTGTAGTATTAGATGGGGTCAGGTTTAAATTAGCTTTACTCTGCAGATATGACACATAAAATGCAGTATATAAGATTGTTGGACTGCAGATGCAGATAGCAACACAGGATAGCTGCATTGTGGCAATAATAGAGATCTGGCTGGAAGAAGGGCAAGACTGCGTGACTAATGACCGGGTATTAAATATTCCTTGGTAGATATCATTCAGGAATTATAGGGAAGGCAAGAAAGGAGAGGGTGGAGGGTGGCAGTACTGACTAAGGAATTCTGGGTTAAGGGATTAAGAGATGTACCGCTATGGCCAAGGACAGAATCTGTTTGGGAAGAGCTAAGAAACATTACAGGCATTGATATACTGCTGGGTGTGTTCAAAAAACTGCTCATAGTGGAAAACTTGTAGAGGAACACATCAGCAAGGAAGTTACAGTGAAGTGCAATAATCATAGAGTAGAATTAATAGGAGACTTCAATTGTCCTAATATAGTTTGAGATCTAATAGTGTAAAGGATGAAGAGGGACAAGTGTTTTCAGTGTGTGTTCAGGATAATTTTCTACAACAATGTGTCAATGAAAAAGAAAACATTATTGGATCAATTCTAGGAAATGAAATGGACTAAGTGGTGTTGTCAGTAAAGGAATGTGTAGGGAAGAGTGATCATAATATCATAAGGTTTTGGTTGACGAAGGAAAACATCCTTTAGGGAGGAAATTCCAGCATCCTTATCTGGCCATGCCTACGTGTGACTTCAGACCCACAGCAATGTAATTGGCTCTTAACTGTCCCCTGAAATGGCCCAGAGGGCCAAGCCATTCAAAGACAACTAGGGATGGGCAACAATCCACATCCCATACAAGAATAAAACTAAAGGAGCAATCCACAGTCACAATAGATAAAATTTCATATGGTGAGAATGGATCTGGCCCAGGCAAATTGAAACCAAAGATTGGCTGGCAAAATGCTAACAGAACAGTAGCCAGTTTTAAACAGGAGATTGTTAAGGTACACTGAATAGTTGCATACTTCCCACAGGAGGAAGAGTAGGATGAGCAACTATAAAATTTCCTTCACAAAAAACAAGATAACAAACAGGAATCTGTACATTGTCTAGGCTTTTGACTGGCAGTGTTCAACCATGCTATTGCTGCAGGGAAGTTTGAGTTAGGACAGAGACGGAATCGGAGACAAACTATTACCAAGGCAGCCAGGTTAAAAGGCCTGCCTACATTTGCCCATGCATTGGCCCAGCTCTGAGGATGAGTACATGGCAATCCTGCAGCTACCACAGCATCCTTACTCTCCATAACCCACTCCAATATGAACAGTATTCAGAAGCTGTGTAATGACGTTGGGATATCTTTGAGTAGCTCATAAATCTGTCAAAATAAACACACTACTTACTTTTTAAAAAATTATCCTCCAAACAATTTATAAATCTGTCAAAATAAACAAACTCATCTTGCCATTGATATTTGCATCCAAATCCCTGCTGTATAGAATTTATTGGAAGACAGCCAAGAATTCACATGATCCTACTGAACAATGGCACCAATAAATCCTCGACATAGAATATATTATAGCATTTGTAGACAGTAGGCTGTCATCTGTCAAGACTTTGGAACAGCCAAATAAAAAGCTGCATTGCACTTCAAGAGAATAATCAAAGTTCTGGACATATTTCAAACCTAGAAGATGTCAAAGGATGCATTGATGGATACTAGGTAGATAATGCAGATGAGAACCAGGTTGAATAATGGAAGGTTTAGAAGGGAAGTGAAAATACAAATAAGGGAAGCGAGGAGGAAGTATGAGAAGAGACAGACGGCTACATCTCTCAAAGCATCATAAATCAATAGAATTCAATACCCCAGAGATGGTGGAAGCTGGAATAATGAATAAATCTAAGGACAAGATTTTTAATTATTAATGGGGTTAAAGGTTAAGGGGGAGCAGGCAGGAAAGTGGGGTTAAGGAAAAGATGAGATCAGCAGAGCCAGCTCGATGGGCCGAATGCCTAGTTCTTACATTCTTATGTTTTAACATAAAATGGAATGCAAAAGTCTTCTATAGGCAAATAAATAGGAAAACAGTGGTAAAAGAAGGAGTGGAATTGATTAGGCACGTTAAAGGGAATTATTGAAATTAATAGGGGAGGCAATGATCTAGAAGTATTATCCAGTGACCCAGATAATGTTCTGCGGACCCAGGTTCAAATCCCGCCATGGCATTTGGTGGAATTTGAATTCAATAAATATTTGGGATTAAGAATCTAATGATGACTGTGAATCCATTGTCGATTGTCGGAAAAACCCAACTGGTTCACTAATGTCCTTCAGGGAAGGAAACTGCCATCCTTACCTGGTCTGGCCTACATGTGACTCCAGACCCACAGCAATGTGGTTGACTCTTAACTGCCCTCTGGGCAATTAGGGATGGGTAATAAATGCTGGCCTAGCCAGCGACACCTTCATCCCGTGAATTGTAAGGAAAAAAATGGGGTGAAGGGTTAACAGATGCCGTGGGCCTGACAATTTGCATTCCAGAGTATTAAAGGAATTGGTCTTCCAATGTGAAAAACAGAA